AATTAAATAAAAAAAAGCGACAATAATTTAAAAAAAAGATACATTAATAAAAAAACTAAGGAAAATTATATTTCTCCTTGATCTCTCTCATTCTTTGCTCGTAGATAATTCGTCCAAACTCCGACAACGTCGCGGGGTCGGTTTGCATGACTTTCATCTCGGCCTCCTGCTCCTTTAGCTTCAACTCCTTCTCTTTAAGTTTCATCCTCTCTTGTTCTTGGAGATTGAACGCGCGAAGTTGTTCAACCATTGCCCGGCCGATTTCGTCGCAGGGAGAAGCAGAAATAGAGGCGGACCCTCCCGAACCAGAGGCAATTGATTTTGCCTTCTTTCTTCCGATCGGCCGTGGAATGGGGTCCTCGTCATCGGAAACCGCAACGTTGAAGGAAGGGATTTGATCGGTAGAACCGATGGTCTCGTCGACTTCAACCTCGGCGTCGACGGTGGATCTTTTCCGGAATGATACGCCGTCTGAATTGTTGAGTTGTTGCCACTTCGGGGAACGACTCAAAATCCCCCAAAGATCGATGGGCACCTTGCCTTGGTTCCCGTCGTCTTGATACCGGGTCGTGGCAAGCCGGAGAACATCGGCGTCGTTCATGCCGCTCCTCCGGGACCGGGAGCATTTCTCGTATACTCCCATAAATTTTCGTACTTTTTTGTTGATGTGGCTCCATTTGGAAGTGAGTTGGTCACGGGTTCGGTACGAGCCGTCCTTCTACATCGCCGTGAAGAACTTCTCCTCGATACGATCCCACATCGCATCCTTCGTTTGCTCTGTACCTTTAAAAAAGTATATAATTATTTTTTTTGACCACCATTAAATATAATATATATAAATAAAAATATAAATATATTAGAAAAAACAAATTTTTTACCAATGATAGGATGCTCGGAGACGTCAACCCAAGCCGACGCCAATATGCACTCCTCCTCCGGCGTCCACTTTTGGATTGCCCGTGCCGCATCGGTCAACGTGCCTTTGGTTTGTGGCTCCTCCGGCGTGTACTTTTTTTCGATCCGGACGGTTCCGGTTGAGTCTCCGGAACCGAATCTCGGTCGACGTACCCCGATTGTTGCGTCTCGTATATCAGCGGTCGATCGCCCCACTCTTGGTAGAACCACATCGCGGCGTCACTCGGGGGGAGATTGTCGGGATCGAAGCCGGAGCCGGAAGGATTCATGTTGAAAATTGGGAGGAGAGATTTGAATTTT